TCTTCTTTTTACTCCTAAAGCAGATTTACAGCAGCGCTAAGGCTATTTCGCGGATTCCAAAGGATTATCAGTGTCTTAAAAAAAGGATTTGTTTTGTATACTTTGATAAATCTAAAAATGTTATTTGGGCTATTTCTGCCTCTATTCATTTTTTGGAAAAGACAACTTTTTCTCCATGTTCTGTGTAGCTCTAGTTTTATTACTCGCTGTTTTGGTAACTTTGGAATACGTATATCTTTACCTTTTTGTCGCAGTAGTAATTTTGTCTAACAATTCCCATATTTCAGTTTGGGACAGAGCAACTTGCTTACTTGAATTTGCCGCCCTGGAGCGACGGTTATTCAGAGGGGGTGGAGGTAATCAATCTAAAGAGTGGTATTTTTCAACCATGGATCGTAAAGTTTTATTCCGCTTAATTCAGTTAGCATCATGAAGTGGACAAAGGTGCAACGCGCGTTTGCTGTCGAGGTGTATTTTAGTAACGGTCTTTCAATCATCTCTACTGTACGTGCATTCCGTGTACATTTCAATATTGCGCCCCATGGTAGTCGATTGTTTCATGGGTAAATAACTGCACGAACTCAGCCATGGGGCGCAATCTTAGATAAAAGAGACCAGAGATATAACATACACCGGTGTTTAACCTGCGCAAATGTTGCCAATTTCTAAAGAAAGGTTAACGGAGTGGGGGAACTGGGCAGGAACCCGAACTCTGTGACAGGGACCGGACTTTGTTTATTAGCATCATAATGAACTATTAGATTTATTTAAAATATACGTTTAATGGAATTTTGTATTATGAAATAAATTTAACGTGATTTTTTAATATCAAATAGATGCCACGACATTTTATGTAAAGAGAAGAACTTTTATAGAATATTTAGTTAGCTATTATTTACTACGGACTTTTCTGTAAGAGACTACAGTAAAATGTTGAAATAGAATATTGTTAATCAAATAAGAAATGGCACTCATTGTCTACGAGTATTATAAAAAAAGCATGTGCGCAGGCGAATACTGCAAATCAAACCTTGTGAGTTGAATATTATATTTTTTCCACGACTATCACATAATATTAAAAATTAGTCAAAATGAGAAAATGCTGTTTTGTATTATAACCTCAGAAAAAGATATATTAAAGCTTGTTTCTTTAGGAATATTAATTAATATATAGGATGAGTCACATAAAACTCTAGAAATGCATATGTCTGAAACCAGATAACATTTTAAAATTTAAACCTATTAAAAGGCATTTGGTCGCTAAGAGTAGGTGATTATTGAAATAAATTATTGAAATAAATTATTGATCAATAATAATAATCGATTATTTTCGATCAATCGATTATTTTCAAACAATCTATTTTTGTTCGTATTTCCTTTAAAATCGACTACTTGATTATCTTTAAAAAATCAAAAATAATAGATTAATTAAAAAGCCAATTAACCGATAAATCAGTGTTTACAAAAAATAATAAACCAATTATCGTTTATTTTAAATAATCGATTATTTTTAAATAATCTATTTTTTTCGTATTTCCATTGAAATAGATTATTCGATAATCTTTGAAAAATCTAAAATAATCGATTAATCAAAAATAATCGATTAATTAAAAAGTCGAATAATCGATTTTACAAAAAAAAAGAATTATTTCCTTTAAAATCAATTATTCGATCATTTTTGAAAAAATGAAAATAATCGCTTAATCGAAAATAATCGATTAAGGGAAAATAACCAATTAATTAAGAAGCCGATTCTACGATAAATCGATTTTCCAAAAAAATAACTGAATTATTGATTATTTACAAGTAATCCTTTTCTTTTTTCATATTCCTTTTAAAATTGATTATTTAATTTTCTTTGAAAAATCGAAAATAATCGATTAATAAAAAGCTGATTGACCAATAAATCGATAATTCTAAAAAATAACCGAAATATCGATTATATAATATAACCGATTGTATTCGATCAATCGATTATTATTTTTATATAATCTATTTTTCTATTTTAAAACAAATTATTCGAATACCTTTGAAAAATCGAAAATAATCGATTAATCGAAAATATTCGGTAAATAGAAAATAATCGATTAATTTAAAAAGACGATTAAACAATAAATCGATTTTTTTTTTAAATAAAAATAAATACAAATAATAATACATATATTTAACGAATACTTACTTGGAGCAAATCTTTAAAATACCCATCAATAATTTAATTGTGAAGTAGAGACTAGGATATTACATTTTATTAACACTAAAGTAATATATTTTATAAATGTCTTTTTAACCGAGGACAAATGTAATATAGGTATTGTATTAAAAGGTGAATCCTTTTAACTATTCATTCAATGATAAATATGTATTTTCCTTCCAAATACAGATGGTGGTATTACTCTCTTATGTGAAAAATGATTTCGGAATCCAGTCCAGTGATAAATTGATTATCAATTAGTTGTTGTACCCGTTTGTCTTTTTATGATGCATGGTGAATCAATTAAGTTTTTCTCGAAGTTTTCAACGTAGCACCAACATTATTGCAAAACACAGTAGGAAATAGAAAAGCAAAACATCACAATTTTGCAAATAACTAAGACAAGACAAAACTATAAACAGAAACCAAAACCAAAAGCCAAAGCCAACAAAAAATCACTAAAATCAGACGGAAAAATGAAACTACCCAAAAACATAAATAAATACACGTCATATATTTGGATTCTTTGGTTAAGTTTTTCTCCCATAAAGCTTAAAAATGGAGTAATAAATCATAATTTCACCAGTAGCCCCATCTAGAGTTTGGAGCAAATAGCATAAAAAATGTAAGTTGTCGGTTTTGACCTTGGTCATTCACGTGGAACCTCTATGTGCTTTGTGGTGCCTATCACTCTCCTCCGAGCAACCGTCGCAACAGGGCACCAAATTCAAATAAGTAAATTGCTCTGTTCCACTCTCTATATTATGTACACATGTCTGGAATAAAGTATGGAACCAGACCGATATGTTTAAAATGGAAACGATGATTTTTTGTTATATTTTGGCCCATAGCACTATGCTTTATCACAAACATTTCACTTTATTATTTTAAGTCTACGTACTAGGTCCTGATTTTCTAAAAGTTAGAATACCTCAATGTTGGCATGTTGCCTCTTCTCGTGCCTCATGGCTATTAGCATTTTTTAAAATTTATTCTGGAATTGATTTAACTTGGAGTTTTTGGTGCAGGTTTTTTTTCTGAACGTACCACCAAGCATTGACTATTTGCCTGAGAATTCCATTATTTACTATTTTTAGGCAATTATATTTGCTTTTTTGGTACATCCCATTGTAACAACCAACTTTCTAAAGGACCAACGCTCGTCGCCAAATGTAACAAACAACTTGCCTAAAGACCATATGTAACTACTGCTAGGTCTTTAGCTACTGTTGTTAATATACTATTAAGGGATTACGGCAGCGCCGTCACCAGCCAAAGGGTCCTGGATTCCTGAAGGAACATCCATTTACCAGTGGCAAATAAAAATAATAAAAAAATTAAATTAAAAGGATAAAAAAATCATCCCTTAATAGCATAGTCGAGCGGTTCTTGGCAACTAATTTTAGACTCTTTTAGTCCTAAGGGAATAGAAACGCCGAGGCTTCTCAAATGCTCGGAGTATTTTGCTGGTTTGGAAAGGGAGGAGAGATTAATAATAAGTATTAAAACATTAACAAATGTATATTAACAATAAATATAAAATTTGACAAATAGTCTTAAGAAAAAAATGAATAAAATTCCATTTAGAGAATAAAGCACTATAACTACATAGTAATATAAAGATATGCATATATGTAAATCAATCAATCAATTATTAATAAACAAAACACTTTAAAATTAAGTTAAAATATTTACCCATAATTCACATCGTACACAAAACTTTACTCTACACATTACAATACAAAACGTGAGATTTCGCCCCTGGGGCGAAAGTTCTGAACCTTAGTCCGAACTCGACTGAGAGTTTACCCAAGTGATCCTTTCTTTCTGTCTCCTCTCTATATAAACCAAAATTTACGTGTTGGTTGGTTGTATTTAAAAATGTCACGCTCAATATAGATTAATAACTTGAAGGTTTGTTTCATTTTCATACGTGTCTTTTTAATTATTTAATTTAAACATTAAATACTTATTTAGAATTTTTGGTAAATTCTTTAGATTTTTTCAAATAATAATAGTGCCAATTATTACACCATAGTTATAGACCATATGTCCATACTGGCTTTAGAACTTGTTTGTAAACCAGGACTTTGTTTTGAGTGGAAAGTGAAAAGTCCCTTCCTATTAACCAATACTTCTTTCTTTTTTTTTAATCTTAATATGTTCCTGCCATGAATATAATTTTTATTACAAATGTTTAATCCCTAAATTTTTAACTTTAAACTGTTCGTACTAGATATGCTATTTGATCTATTAAAATTAAAGCAATTGCTGATAATATAATACCTCGCATAAGTCAGTTTCTGTATTTTAAAGCCCATCTTAACAATAAAATAAGCTTAATTACCACTTTCGTATAAAACTAGATTAATCTGATACCTCTAATCCTATCAATAAAGATAATTTTGCCATGAAACTGATCTTCTTTCACTCCACACATTTCGTAGCAATCCATACTTAATTTTCTAGATATTTTAGAATTATAAATTTAAAAAATGTTCAACACATTTAATTAAAACAATACAATAACGTAAACTAATGTTTTTTGTAAAGTCGACCAATACTGACAGAGACATAGATACGAGTCACGTCCATGATAACTACGAATGCCTCTGGATTAAATCCTAGCTGTCATTTAAAAAAGATGAAGAATTGTACTTTCCGACATGTATGATTATTCCAAAGTCTACTTTATAAACGAATCATTCATTATTTATAATTATGTAATAATTAACAATAAAAAAAGTATTTTACACTATTTTTATTGTAACATTTTAAAGGATATCTTTCAAAAAAAACTTTATTTTAGGGTTGGATCCTGCTGCTCCTCTTTATGAGTTTCCTCACATCGAATCCTTAGATGAAGTATTAGATCCTTCAGATGCCTCATTTGTTGACGCAATTCATACAAACGCAAAACATATTGGAATGATTACACCAGCGGGTCACGTCGATTACTACGTTAATGGAGGTCAGCAACAATGGGGATGCAATACGTGTAAGTAATTTATTAGCTTTTCCATTCCATCATTCTTATTTTTTCATAACGCAAAAGCGAAAGTACCATCGACGAACTACTATAGACTAATATTTTCATTTGTAAATAAGGATTTGTTTATTTTGCAAGTAATCAATTCGTGTTATTTGTTACACAGACTCTCTTACCTCTACTGTTGCTTTAGAAAGAGCGGGTCGCCCACTAAATTAAGTGGGAATGATGTATGCGAGAAGACGTTTAATGAGTGAATTAGCACTTATCACAATGATATTGCTTTACACTGTTGTCACACTGCAAAATAAATTACTTACTTACCTGGATTTCACCAACAATTGCAATTACTTAATGTAATTTACAAAGCCTTTTATGCGTTGCAGATATTTTGTTAAAAAAAATGTAAATTATACCCACCAACATTTATTGGTACTATACTCTCCCACAATAATTTGGCAACAGTTCGTCTGTTTTAAACAAAATAGGTCTAGTACTTGTTCGTCGATGAAAAGTACCTGGGTGCTTATATATTCTGGCACTGTCTAGTATTTATATATTTTTTTGGAAAACACGTATATATATTTAATTTTTAGGGAGATGCAGCCACATACGAGCATGTGAACTCTTCATTGCTTCGATTAGAAAACCTGATCTATTCAAGGCGTTCTCGTATGACTCATGGGTGAAATTTAATGATAAAATAACGAATTCTTTGGAAGTATATCCCATGGGAATAGCAGCCAGTCCCAAAATTCCATTTGGAATATATTTTTTGGAAGTTAAAGATGAATATACGAAATATGTGTCTAGTAAAACAAGTTTAATGGATAGTTACGGGTCATATTTTGGAGAAATGCAATTATTAAATCTTTTTTAGTACTAGATATTTAATTTTGACAATCAATGTTGTAATTTTTTCCCTTTTTTAGACACTTGAGGAATAATAAATAATTTTAATGTGATAAGTTTTCTTTCTTTTTTAAATAATTGATGACTAAGTCATGTTTCTAACTTTTAAGCATATCACCGTTCATGATTTTGGTATGAAATAAGTGATATGAAATATTTTAGTTTGACTTTGTTATTAAAAGAATGTAGCCTAATACAACAAACAAAAAACACAACTTTGTGTAAAAAATTTGATAATTTCTCGTCCACTTTGGTTTCTGTGTTAGTTTTTAATACTTTGTCATTTTTGTTTTTTTTTCTTCTTCTAAAATCCTTTTGCATTATCAAATTATGTTTTACATCTTCCTTTAATCCAATTCGTCCTTCTTTTCGATTATATTCTACCCTTTTATTTTTTTAATGTTTTTTTATTATATTTTGCTTATTTCCTTCTTTTTCTATTATCCTGCTTCTCTTTTCCCTTGTTACTTTGTCCCTTTTTTCTTTCTGTTTCTACTTTACCTTTCTTCATAAAGAATTTATTTTTTCTAATATGAAAATATATTTATATTTTTAGAACTACAGTTTTTGTCTATATTTTTACAGAAAATATACTTTCTTTCTTTTAGTTGCTTATTGCAATTCCAGCAAAAGCTAAGGATAGAAAATTTGTATTAGAAGAAGAAAAATACAATGCGACAAATTTCATGACGCTTTGGGAATTTGATGGTGTTTTGAAATACACTCCTCTTTTTTATGGATGGTACTCTAATACTGGATCTGGAGGTTACAAAGTACCTTTAGCTTATTTCATGACAGGACTGGTCGTATATGGTTACAGCTTTGTCGCCACTCTAAGGAAGTAAGACATTTTACTTATTTTAAATAAAATATTTGCTTCTTAAATGGCACTTTCATTATTACAAAATTCTTGGCTTAAATCATTCGTAGCAGATGAATTATTTTTTAATTGGATTTTCATCGAAAGTCGCTTAAACTATTACTATTCAATAGATTAATATCATTTGCACTGTAATAATTTCATATACTTCTAGTTGATTAATAAGCGTTTATCATGCATCATGTACTTGACTAATAGCTGATACTCATACCTGTGTTATCCAAATGTGTGATACAACAAAAAATTTTTGCCTCATTCCAATATTCCCGCATGACTGATGCGATTTTTGGTTGATCCTCATTCGTCTTCTCTAACAACTTTTTAAAATATTTTCTTTATTTTTTCCATTCAACTTTGTTATAGCTTAATTCTTTACTACATAATACCATCTATTTTATTTAATGCTATACATCTTTAGTAGATAAACTTGTAATCTTGTGTCATTGCGTTTGTACTGTAACTGTAAATTATTGAGCTCTCATATTTAATTAAGTCTCGATATAGGTAATCTATTGAATACAACTTTTGGGATCGGGACTATAGGTAATTACATAAGTTAAGGTCGCCATTTCAGTGAATTTTACGTGGTCAAAACATAGGTTTACGATTTTTTACAGAACTTATTTTTCACTGGATGGATTTTAGTGAAACTTTGGCAGCTTATAGAAAAATGTTTAATGATTGAAATGAGACATTTTCATTTGTCCTGCTATTTATTAAATACTATTAAAAAATATAAAAAAGTGATAGTCACAGATGTAGTTCAAAACACTTTATAGCATTCTACATATTTTTTTGAATATTCTTGCCAAATTTTAATAATCAATGTTGCGTACTTTTTAAGTTCTGTACAAAATACGATTTCATCTAAAATTGATAATTTCATCGCGTCCATGTTGCTTTTTAGTTCAGCACCTAAATTATAGATGTCCGATGGAGCAAAAGTAGCGAAAGCTTCGGCGCCGGGTTGCCATATTTTAAAATTGTCTTGAATTTAGACAAAACTATATTATTATGGTTATTTACAATTTACACAAATATAAATTATATATACAGGGAGACTCATTTTTTAACGTTTTCTTATTAAGACGAATTTTTAATAAAATTTGGTGCTTTGTCTAAAATTAAAATCTAAATTAACCAATATTTAAAATAAATGTCTTTATACGAGGAAAAACAAAAGTTTGTAAAAAAATTGGTTAAAGATGTAATTTTTTTAATGTGTAAATAAAGTGTGAATTCGGCAAAATGGGCATGAGTTGGTTATTCAATATGTTGACTATCATGAGAGAAATATTCATCAATGCAATAAAGTGATGTTACTTTGAGCCAGTAATGTAATAATATATTTATTAGGCTATCAATGACACCGATATCTTTTTGCTCCAGTTCATGGTTTCAAAAAAAAATCAGTTAAAATGACACTAATGACTCTTTCATTTACTCTTCAAAAATGTTTTTTACTAGGAAGGATAAAATGAAAAATTTCTAAGTATCCAGTAAAAGCTTTATTTAATTCAATAAATATGTAAATAAATATTAAAATATTCTTTTCAAATGGCCTCTCTGGCTTTCAGTCGTTTTGGAATATTCCTGTACACAATCTCTGGCATTACATACTGATTATAAAAATTTAGTAATTTGGATAAAACATTATTCTGCCAAAATTGCAGGTATAAATGATGTCAAATTGGACAATTAAAATACAGATTACATACCATTAATAACATTAAGCTATTAATAACGAAGAAAACATACTAAAAAGCACTTACCAAAATGCAGGTATAAATGATTGTCAAATTGGACATTTAAAATACAGATTATATACCATTAATAACATTAAGCTATTAATAACAAAGAAAACATAGCAGAAAGGAAATTATAATCACTATATTAATGGACGTAGAAAGAATCTAAGAAAATTAATTAGTGTTTAAAAAGTAATTTTAAACCGTTTTAGCTCGAACTTATTAGAATGATAAGATATAATTTTGTGTGATGTTTTGTTCACAATTTTTACTCAAAAAATATGACTGCTTTCTAGCTAAAATTTCTAGACTGTAGTAATATATTTTTTTTGCTGACACATTAAAATTTTGTTTCTTTTATCGAAAAAAAAAACTTCCTGAAAATGTGAGCCCTTAATTTTAATTTTAAGTGCTTACTTTCGATTGATGTATATTTTCCATTTGAATAACATGTAAAACATGATTTTTTTAATTTAAATTAATATAGCTCCCTTTGATTTCAAGGTATTCCATTGCGATTAGTCAAAATTTGTAGTATATTAGTAACTCTTTGAAAGTGCATACCAACATTTTTTTGTACTTGAACCCGTTTCATCGGTGCCGGCCTCGAAAGCTCAATTTTCTCAAAAATTGTTATATTTTCGTTCTTATCAACAAAACAGTTGAAGTTATAAAAAAAATGTCATAAAACAATTTGTAGCAAATTAAATTTCCTACAAAAATACCTCTGTATGGATTTTCTGGGGTGCGTAGTCCAAAAGGTATAAACAGTTTAATGTATTAAAATCTAAAAAAAAAAAAATTAATTTTTATTGCATGATTTTTTAACTCTACCTTGTTATCGAATCAGTATACGCTTTTTTAACAAAATAAACTTTATTCAATTATTTTTTAAAACAAAAAACACATGAATTTGATTGAAGTAGTAAATAAAGTAGAACTAAATATTGAAATGTAATTGTTGAATAAAAAATTATTTATAACACTGATTTTCTATCGTGGAGTTTTCAAATGTACGCAAGTAAAAAGTATGATAGAAAGAAAAGTTACAGGTGCAAAAAGGATTTTTCTAATTTTACGTATTTTTAAAGATAGTTTTGGTATATTTTTAAACTAAGAACAAAAAAATATTTTACACTCAATAAATATCAGAATTTCATATGAGACATTTTACTCTTGAATTGAAAAAAATTTTTCATTATCTTTTTTTTTTTTTTTTAAGTTAAATGAGGTTAATTTTGTTAAAAGAAACGTATGTTGAAAAATCATACAATAAAAGTTAAAATTTCATATATTTTTTTTAGATTTTTATACCTTGTGGCAGAGCTGTTTAAGATCATTTTAAAAACGATTTAAATCAAAGATCATAAATCGTTTGCATTTGAACAAATGATTTAAATCAAAGATCGATTTAAAAAAAAAAGATTTAAATCAAAAATCTTTTTTACAATTTAAATCATTTTAGGAAAGATTTAAATCTTTTTGAAAGATTTAAATCATTTTGGGAAAGATTTAAATCTTTTTTTACAATTTAAATCATTTTAGGAAAGATTTAAATCTTTTCGAAAGATTTAAATTATTTTTAGGAAAGATTTAAATCTTTTCGAAAGATTTAAATCTTTTCGAAAGATTTAAATCTTTTCAAAAGATTTAAATCTTTTCAGAAGATTTAAATCTTTTTATAGATTTGGGTAACTCTTTAAAAAATGCTTTCGGTATGCCAAAGATAGATAATGAATACTTTTCTCGTATTTATTTTTTATCGTTATTAGCCCAATGCAATTCTTACGGAAATATTAATTTTAAATAATAAATATCCGATCAAGATAAATTTTTTAAGGATTTATGCAGCATTGATATCTATAGTTATGAAAATTGTTATTTAAAAATGTCATGTTGATTGGTAAATAGGAATTTTTCAACCCTTTAAAAGATTCTTTTGGTATGCCTATGATGCCACAAAACAATGGAGACCTAGTTTTTAAGAAAAGTTATTTTTTTTCTGAAAAATCTCTTAAATCCGTCAACTCTTCCTTGAGTTAACGTGCTTAATGTCATACATACATAAACACCCACAGATGCACATATATCAGACTCTTTAAAAATATGTTTTTTTTGTACTTAGGAGACTCTCTCGGAAAAATGCATTTCATTTTCAAAATCTCCCGGCTATGAATAATGAAATTGAGTGGGTTGAATTAAAAGAGTTCTTCTCTTAACGTGAAGTTATTGCGAGTAAATAAATAGCCAAAGTAGGCGCGTTTGGGTTAATTGTTTTGATGAATGTGTGGATGAATCAGGCAAGGAAATAAAAAATTTAATTAATTCGCTCTTTCTATGCCAAGCATATTTATTGAACTGGTCAAAAAGTCATAATCGTCTTAATGCAACTAATGTCAAATCTGAAATAAATCCACAA